AATGGGGTTTCAAAACTAAATTTGGATTCGTCTTCCTAGAAGCTACTGGGTTAGCCCCAGAGGGATGAGGCTTTACAAAGGCAAGAATCTGGGACAGAGAGGTTTTAGGGGGAGTTTGTCAATGGGCTACTGAAAAGGAGCAGAAAGGTACAATGTTTTAAATGACCGTTTAGCCTTCATGCAGATCTTCAGGAGAGGTGATTTTTCCATATTTGTCATGAAGGGTGTTCCTTTTTAATACCAGGAATGGTGCTACCCCCGGGGATGGAGCAAGGGGACCATTTGGCCATCATTTGATGTATGGGAGAGCAGGAATTCCCACAATTTCACTTGCTTCAGGAACACTTTTCATTGCTCTTTTATGTAGTTTTGAGGTGGGTACAGCCCTGACCTTCCAGACTTTGCAGGAAGATGTCACCCCTTCTCTCTTCCTGCTCTTTATTATAGCAGCAGATCCTGGCTGTAGGTGCAGGCATACAAGGAGCCAGGCAGCTGCCCAGGCATGAATCACTGCCTGGGTGCTCCCAGTGCCCCCCCCCCCCTTCCTCTTCCAAGGAAATGGGAAGGGAAAGCACCAGCAGAATTCTAGCCGACTTGCTAGAAACAGTTCCATCATGATGTTTAACAAAGGCTTCAGACTGCAATTAGCACAGCTCTGATTTGTAAAAAGGAATTGAATGGTGCTTCTCCCATAGGATCTGGGAGAATAAAGAGGAGAGGTAAACATAGGATATAACTAACTAGTTATGAAATGATGTTTAAAATCCCTGTTCAGCAGAAACTAGCTAAAGCACCATATGATTTGCAAGCTGAACAGTATTTGCTTAACAAGGCATTTGCACATGTTACTGCTATTAAGTAATCAATACACCTGGGTGCAGGGCTACACACAGTTTATTGTTCCTCCTTTGCTTTGCTCTGACTCAGCACTGAATCTATATGATTGTGCAGGTATTACCCACGCAGCTAGAAAGTTTCTTGCGATAAACAGTGGTGTAGCCAAGAAAAACAACAGCAAACAGATCAGGCGTATTTTTCCGTCTGACTCTTGCAAGGTTGTTTTATTGTCTTCTTTCTATTTAACTAGAACCTCAGCTTGTTGTTTCTCTGCAGCCCAACTCTTCACATCACCTACTGCCTTCAAGAACCTGTCTAACAGCCAGTTCATCTTTCAGCGTGTTCACACTTGCACAATTACAGTAAGTGGAAGAAATTTCCTCTATTCTACAGCAAACAATGGAAAGGATTGCATTTACCTTTCTGCTTGAAGCCAGAAAAGAATGGCTTCCAGAGCAGGTTATGAAACTCCCTGCTTCCCAGGTCAGGTTTGTGTCACAGGAAGGTGATCATGTGCTGTCACTCTCCACAGCCAGTTACTTATTAGAGCCGCAATAGCCATGTCCTAGAGACCCAGTTTTCTTCCTCAGAGATCTTAAACCATAGCATGTTTTCCACTGCAAAAGAAATAAATTTCAACGCCTAAAAATGCTGCAGCTCAGCTTCTCCACCTGCTTTTATGATGAGATGTAGTATTTTGCCCTGTGTTCACCTACAGGCAGCCAGCACACAACTAGAAGAAAGAGCAACCCTTGTGCACTAGCACATCATCTGGGCTCTAATCAAAGACATTAAGGAAACTGCCCTCCTGATGTGGTACCAAACACAGGTGCCTAGTGGGGCTTTCTGCTCTGAAGCATCCCTTTAGGCCTGAGCTCAGAAAGGTGAGCTAGACCTACTGGAATGAGTAACCATCTAAAATTAGGCATGTGCTTAAGCACTTTGTCAGGCTCAAGGTTCCAGGTTTGGCTGCAGACTTAGTCTCTTCCAGCACTGCTCTCAACAATGAGCTCCTTCCATTCCATCCCCACCCATCCGAGTCTTTGGGGAATGTTGCCATGGATTTCCACGGGACACAAAAGAGTCCATATTGGAAGAACCCTGTTAAGGTTGCTAGGCGTAAATATTGACTTAACGGCTCTTCCGCCTTTTTTCTTTTTTAAGAACAGATTTGTTGGCCATGGCTGGAAAAATAAAATGATGGAGTATGCAGTGATTCACTCTGGCACTCACACAAACATGCAGATCAGTTGGCTGGCAGCTCGCTCCTCTGTTAGCAGAACATCGCTTCTAAAATGTATCACTTTGTTTTGGCAGCAAGAGCATCCAAGCCCACAGACACAGAGATAAAATCTCCTACCTTCCATGTACTCCGCATGGGGACCGCTGACCTTCCCCAACACAGAACATTGGATTAATAGCTCAAACAGCTTTTTAGTTGAGACACACAGAAGGACTGACAATCATTTCACACTGAAAGCTCAGCCCAGAGATCTCCCTTCTTGCACCCACTCTCCTGAGTTTGCTGGCACAAGAAATGACCTCAAAATGAACTGCAGGTAAGACTTTTCATTCAGAAGTCTTTTTATTTGAAAGCAGTGTGAAGGCTGCTTCACAGACAATAAATATTAAAACAGACAGTAACTGCTGTGACAGAAGTTCACACAGGAAGCCAGAAGCAGAAGTGAGAGGGGACCAAGGGTCATTTGATTCATGTTTTCATCATCAGGTGCTACTCCTACAGTACTCCATGCATAAACGTTTAATTCTGACATTAAAAATCATAATTTAAAATATGACTGCAACACACAATGTGATTCAAACCCTTTTCCATATTGGTTCTGCCAGATCTGGATCGTTTGGCAGGACTGGAAGGGGACAAACCTCCACCAAGGCAGCCTTGGTAGACAAAGCATATGTGATACTTGTGTGTACCAGTCCTAGTCATGGCCAATACAATCCCTGACTGTCCCTAAAAACCTGCTCAAGACACACAGGGGCACAAGCAGCTCACTTGAGAGCTGGCAAAGCTGCAGAGAGTATGTTCAAGATCCCACACTCCAGAACCAGAGGAACCTCAAGAGCTGCATTTCACAGCACTTGGCAGGTATCTGCCAGAAAGTCAGTACCTCATCAGCAGGAAGACAAAAACCTAATGACAGAATTTAGGAGGAGAAAGTCCAGTGGCAGACGAGAGATCCTTCCTTAAAGGATCACAAGGAGTTTGCTTGGTGTACTTTGGGGTTTTACCCCTTTGGAGTTTAAGCATTCACCGTAATGCAATACCAGAAAGTGAGAGGAGGATCAACAGACGTGCATATTTGTATTTGCTTTGCATCCCTCCTCTGTGTCTCTACACCTTCCTCTCTGGGAGCAGGGACCTATTCCTCCTGCCAGGCATCCTCTATGCACATTCCCTTCAAAACTGGCAGTCAATGCAAGGCTGCAGCACCTCACAGCCATGCAGAGCAGCCCAGGGCTCTGGCATCCTACCCACTGCTTAGACCAGACACAAACTAGCAACTCAGTATTAAACCACAAGAAGCAAAAGCAAGGACTCTTCGATACCTTTGGAGCTTAGCAACAGCCACTCAGGATTCACTCCACCTCTCCAAAATCTATTTTTACTGACAGCTTTTGAAGCAGAGAATTCATCAAACAGAGAAACAGGTTGATATCCAACCCCTCCTCAACTGCAGGCAGTTATTTTCTAAGTGTTTCCTTGGTGGCACATACACATTCAACACTGTCTACTAGCAAAGATGTCTATTTTCAGAATAAATACAATCACATGCAAAGTTTGTATTAGCAACAACTAATTAGAAGACATCAGGAGATAAAAAAGGATAAATCTCTCTTGGTCACAATGTGCATAGGACAAGAGACCAAGTCGATCTAACTGTAGGAATCCTTACTCCATGCCAGTATTGCTGCGCTTATAACCCACACATGAGCATCAGGGAACAAAGGTTGTTTCAAGCTGTCAGTTATTGGCCATTATTACCTGGCAATGGCAATGGCAACAGTTGAGCTTTACGAGAGGTTCACATTAACACCACACACCAAGTCAACATGCTGCATTTATCACTGGGCTTACATTGTACTGATCTGATACAAGTCCAGCAATGAGCAGGCAACTGCAAGAAATATTTGTAGCTGTTTGGAGTCCCACTTACGTCCCTCCACTGAAAAGGATCCCTTTTGCCTCCTGAGGTGGCTCAGTTTGCCCCTGAACCTGTTCCTTTAGCTTAGGCTGCCTGAGCACTTAGTTCAGAAGTATCTAGTTAAAGATTTAAGGCCAGTTTTGTCACATGCTGCCATCAGCTCCTACATGACCAAGAGCTGGGCCAAGAAGTCCCACTAGAGATAGAGTGCAGTGAGAATCAGAATGCCCCAGTCCATCGTGAACTTCTGTACTACCTTCAATTCAATCAGAAAAGAGGGTACTTTTAGAAGTTTAAAACAAGTTACATGGACCAAGCCTAATGCAACCATTCTCTTTCCATTTCTTGGAAAGAAAGTCAAAGGTGGTGAGTTCAGATCCAGGTATCTCAGGTAAGGTGAGGTGAATCCCTCCTTTAGGGCATAAGATGAAGAAGAGGTAAGGATCAAGCTCCTAATGACTTCACTGAATTCATAGTAAGTGGAATCATGAGCTTACTTTTTCTTATCCAGGCATTCCAAACATGGTCAGGGAAAAATACACACTGTGGACAATCCTTCAAGGATAAGTTCTCCTTCCAGAAGTGACAGAGATTCCTCTCCGTGTTACAGGTTACCACCTATATATCTCCTATAACAACCCATAACAGGCCATAGTTTTAGAGCAATTTGTATAGAGACTGTTTTAAGTACTTGGAGATTATAACCTTGCTCTTGCTCTCCTCAAAGCCAGTGACCCAGCTGCTGAAAAGAGCAGTGGATAAGGTCTTTTTATGGAATCATAGGCTTTACTCCATCCTAAATCCTCTTCCCACTCTGCAGTCATCTGGATGTATTAATACAAAAGATAACCATAGCATTTTCCATTATATTTTCAGCTTCAATCTTGTCTGTGATGCGCTGAGCAATCTGCCAGTCACACTTGTCAATCACTGTTCCTGCTCCTTAAATGCAACAGGCTCATTGAAGTGAAGAAGCAGAAATGAAAGTCTGATACTTACTTTCTCAGGACTGCAATTTCATTCTCTATGCTGCTTTCCTTTCCCTTCAGTGCTTTCTTGGGAATGCACTTGACTGCAAAGAGTTTCCCACTTGCTCTCTCTTCAGCCAAAACAACTTCAGAAAATGCACCCCTGAAAGAAGAAAAGAAAAACCCTGGTTTTAAGTGGCGCCTTTTGTTTGGAAGCCGTTAACTGAAATGGATCATTGAATAAAGTTCTTCTTGTGCCTTTTGGAAGTTGCTCTTATTAACCACATTAATGGAATTACAAGCATCTTTGCCTTTACAAACATACACAGACATTCACATTGACACAAAGCACTAAAGGCTTACCAAGTACAACACTTTTAATAAAGGACCATAGTCCCAGCAGAGGTATGAGAAGAAAGCTTGAAGATCAGAAAGTACCATTTCTGCACACAAAGGCATGGACCATGATCCGGGCTGATTTAATGATGATGGACTTTTTCCCTTCCTGAGATTTTTGGAGAAGCAGCACAAACTCCCTAGGACTCAGTGACACACCAGTGCCAAGAGTACTCCCGGTTCCTCAGTGACCACAAGAGGTCAGGGCCTCCACTTCGGTCCTCACTGACAGCCCAGAGCATCTCCTCACCCTTGGCTCAACCCTGACTCAGACAGGGAAGCAGCGTCAGAACTTCTCTATGTGTACTGAGTTATTCCACAACACAAACTGCTGTGCATAACCGCTAAAGCCAAAGGATTGGATTAAATCACGGGTCCAAACAGCCTCCCTATGGTTACCCCAGAGAGGATTACACAAATAAAGAAACTTCATCACAGCAGCCAGCCACTAATTGCCAAGAGTGGGCAGTGCCTCTCCTCCATTCGATTATTCCATAACAGTGTATTATTTCTTGCACTTTCATCGCTTCCTCCAAAGCATCTGGACCTGACTGAGAGGAGGCCAGGAAAATGTTACAGTCTGTGCTATAAACACATTTTTTTCTGTTCTCACCCTGTTTTCTGAGTATTCAAGCATCATTTAGACACTGCTGGTCTGGACAAACCTTTGTTGTGGCATACTAGGACCATTCGCATGTTCCGGTGCTTGTTACTGATGCAGCAGTGAGGCACTGGGCCAGACAGAGCATTGGCCTGATGAGGAACAGCACATCTTTGCTCCTATTCACCAAAACCTCTTCCTAAAGCACCTGCTTTGTCCAAGAGTGATCAGAGAAAAGGACTTGTCTAACCAGATCACAACTGAAGGATCCACCACCTGAAGGTTCATATTTTATTTATACAAAACAAAGAGGCAGAAAGCTTTCCTTTATTATTTCCCACCCATCAATAGATTATCCTGCTCTACTACATAGCTCTCTGTGAACACCACTCGGGAGCATGCTAAGCAAACCCAACCATACTCCAGCCCACCCTGAAGGTGTTAATGTTTGACCACAGCCTCATTTAGCTACCACAGACTTTCTCTGACTCACTCCCCACAACTGCTTGTGGATAAACAGAAGCATGGCCTTTCCTGACCAGCCACTTCTGTAAGTCATGAACTTCAATGACACAACCAAGCGGCTCAACCAACGGTTCCTGAGTTGCAAAACGACTGAATGAATCATTAAGCCTGTGGATAAGCAAAAGGAAGAGGCTGCTGCGTTGGAAAGCAAGCACCTGCTTACTCAGAAACGCCTTTTTAGCCAGCAGTGATAGGGAAATAGTGACGGGCAGTTTAGGAATGGATGCAAAGAGACTTTTGCAAACTGTTCCGGCGGATGTTTGACAGCTTGTGATGCTCTGAACCAAGAACATTTTGCCTCATTTCTGCTAAAAAAGACAGACTCTGTCTGCATTCACACCACTCTTAACTACAGGAATGATTCGCTGTTTTCTGCTTTGTGTATTATCTACCACGGCACGTCAGAGCATCATGGACTCCAATTTAGAGTCCATGCAACTCATTCTAATGGCTTGTGCAATCAAACCACTCAAACTGTTTTTTTAAGACATATTGTGTGCTTTCTTATTATCAACAGTCCCAATCATTTGGGTCACCAAATGAAATTTGCATCCGGACCCTCATGCTTGGGACAGCCAGACCAGAACTGCAATAAAACCCTTTTACTGGAAAGCCCTAAGACCTCTCAGTGCTTATCAGCTTTGGTTACAGACCAGGGTGCTCAGAAACATACAGGACTGCTCCCAGCTATATTTCATGAACCCTTTAAACCCCAACTGCTTAAGCTTTCAACACCGCACTTCACTCTAGCTGTGTCTTGAACAAGCTTTTTGCCTTCAGTTAAATGCCATTAAAAGCAGCATATTCATACCGACCGTTTACTGATCATACAACCCTCCCAGCATTTACAATATTATAAAAACACAGAGAAATCTCATCCCAATCTGGATTTCACTGGTGTTCTCAGACAACAAAATAAAAGAAATGCCTTTATTTCCCTCTATGCAATAAAGGCAGGTTTGGGAAACACCTCTATTTCAGCTGCCTTCACTGTGTTGCTGGATTTCTTTCTTCACTTATCAGGGCAGCCACGCAGTTCAGTGCTTGGAAACAGCCTCTGTGGATTTAAATGACATTTTTTTCAGGAGCTCCAAGATACTCATAAAACCCAGTTCCATATCTCCTTAACAATATTTCTCATTAAAGCATGAAATAAGCTGAACCTCAGCTAAAGCATTTGCTCACATGTCAACCCTCGGCACTGACAGGGTGCTTTTTCACATCGAATTTTATATGAGGCCATGGCATGAAATTGATGGTGCTGGGAAGAGCCCCCAGGCAACGGCGGGGGAGCATGGGGGCGGATCTGCCAGGAAGGCAGGAGGGAGATGCCAAGCAGTCTGCACTATCCTGTGCAGTATACGTGCTCCTGTGTCCACAGAGCAAGGGGGCTGGGGAGCGCAAGAACTCAATGGACAAAAAGATAAGTGGAGTGCTAGAAGGAAAGGGAAGGGAGGGAACAGATGCAGACAAGGGATCAAAGAGTTAAACACAGATTGAGAGGAACCAATGGTGTAGGGCAAGAAGAAAGAAATCATAGCAGGCAGCATCAGCAAGGAAAAGGCAGCAAAGACATTCCTGGAGTCTGGTGAAGTCAGGGGAGAGTCAGAAATAATAGTGAATACATGGGCAAGCAATTACCATATTTCAAACATACAGCTGAATTCACCCACCCTTAATGAACCTATCCGACCCCCACTAAACCCCTCTTGACTCATGCATGAATAGATAAATACCAAAGACAAAGTCAGAAAGACAAGGCTGCTCATTTTCTTGCGACCAGGAATATTGCTATGAGCAAATTGTCTGCCTCCTCAAAACCCTGGAACTACTGACTCGGCAGGCTTGTTAAAGACGACTTTTTTTCCTCCCAAAGAATTAATGTGGCCTTTAAAATCAAGACATTAATGAAGGAAGCAATTTATCTCTAAGAATTTACTATGACTCTTTATTAGAGATTAAACCTTAATTGCATACAAAGTTCTATAGAGAAGTTTGGATTTGGAAAATGTTGCATTTTACACCATCAAAGTGACAGGACTTCCTGTGAAAAGGATGTGGCTTCCATTAAGCATCATCAAGCCATGTTATATGATAAAAAAGGAAAGAAAACACTATAGCGGAGATGTTGGACAACCAGAATGATACATGTCTGCAGCTCAGACAGGGCTCTGGATTAAAACCCAACCTCTCCTAGGAGGTGCCCTATGTCTGTACAACACATTATGTTCCCAAGACGTGCTATTTGCAACCCATATGCCAGTATCTACATGGTCATCGTGCTGAGCCAGAAAGACATTCAGAAACCTCTTCGTCAATCTTGCATTTTGAACCAGGAGGTTTTGTCTGGAATTTCATGTATGGAGAAAACACCATTTCTGTGAAGGCCACAAGCAAACAGGGATATTTTTTTATTCTGTGAAATACTGAGATACTGAGAAGGTGTTTGTGAAAATATTTGGTGAATTTTATTCTCCTTCCTCCCCCAAAAAATATGGTTGAAAAAAAATATTTTCACACTCTGATACAGAAACAATTTTTTTTTTTTTTAAATAAGGAGAAGAGGTTAAGTGATTAAAAGTTACGATTTTAAAGGCATCTACAATGGTTGAAATGTCTCATTCTCTTCAGCTGGGAGAGAGGTAATTGCAACCTTCCCAAGGTGCCTGTAGACCCCGCCTTTGCCTCTCTAAAGAGAGGCTTCAACACCTTCAGGAGCTCTCCTTGTCCTGGCTGGACATTATAGCAAACAAATAAAAAAACATCACAGTTTTGAGGAAGTAGGACAGCTATGGAAATGGGTGAGAAACTTCTGCAAAATCAAACCACCTTTAGCTGCTGAGATACATGCGTGACAACAACCCATTTTTGCAAGTTTTGACCATGTTACCATTTACTCTACAGGATCCATTCTTTTCAAACTTCTAATTAAGGCATGGAATAATTTTATGATCTAGATCATTCTTAATATGATTAGGAACAATGAGGGGGGGAGAGGTTAAATGACTTGATGAGTGACATTGAGATAACGGCAAATTCTAGAAGGTGATCAAGATGTTAAGACCTCTCACCTTTTTGCATGTATCATGCATCTGGTCCATGCAGATCTTATGAGATGCCAATCTTTTATAGTTTTAATTATTTCTCATCTGGTTATTTTCTTTAATCTAGATTTAAAGGTTAGGACTTTAACATTAGAATCCAAATACCATTCATACCTAAACAGACTGGATTTTCTATTAGAAAACAATGGCTGTAAGGCTAGGCTATCCTGCAGATCAAAGCAAAATAAAGGACAAGTAACTTTTTCCTTCATCTGTTTGAACTATAATTTAATATGAACACTTAATTTCTGAAATACAATGAGCAATATAGACTGTGACAGCAAGTCTGTTCTTATTCTCAAAAAGAATTGCTGTCACAAAAATACTAACAAAGTGAAGACAAAGAGTTGATGGAGGGATAAAACTTAATTTTTCCATTTGCAGAGACCTCCACGTTGAGCAGTTTTCCACTGCATTAGCAGGTGCTTTGCCATACTAAATCAACAGACATAGCTAGGAAACAGATTTTACATCTTCAGGCTGTGTATAGCTAATGATCTTAATTATGATACACTTGGTTTTCTGTGTGGACTTTGC